TTTAACGCGGCAGGGTGTGCAGCAACACGAACACACCGCCGACAACGGATAAGGGCTGATGGACATCACTGCTGCACAGAACATGGTAGATAGTAGTACCAAGCACCGGCATCTAAACAACCACGGAAAATAAGCTTCGAGGGTTCTTGGCATGCGTTTCGTCTTGAATCACTAACTTTTGCAGGGAAGATCCGTATACGTTCCTGTGCAAGGAAAACGTTGGCCAGTTGCGCTACCTGTTTCAACGTTGCAATCATAACGGAAAGCCGAGAAATTTCTGTTTCGACTAGTACGTGTATTCAAAAGTAAGAAACGATAGGCAGAATCACGAGAGGGCGAAGATCTTGAGATGTTGGCAGGCAGAAAATCAGCTTGAAAATTCTAACAGAAAATAATCCAACCCCGGCTCTGGGGTAACAGAAGTCCAGAGTATACTCGAGAACACTTCTCGAAGCGTTTAAATGGTGATAAAGGCGGCATATTTTAGACAAGGCGATTCACACAATCGTCTTTAATCTGTTATTGGGAAGCGAAATACGAGCTACCCATCTGGAACGCAAAGTCACGATGCTCTAGCTGCTGGCGCCGCCAACTCCAGAGGTGGAGATAAAAAAGGTTGAGATCTCTAGCGGTGAACGAGGACAAGACGAGGTAACTCCTCGCAACACACCAAGAGTCTTCGCGTCCTAGAACAATCTTCACTGTTGGGAGTTATAAATTTGAAGTATATATCTTTTTTCAGTAAGGGACCTGTTCTACGTAGGATCCATCATAAACAGCACCTACAATGTCCGCTTGGATATCAAGCCTACAGGTGCTACTTCTGGCCCGGCAGACAATTGAAAAGCAGAGCTCGCCCAACAGAGATTAGCTTTTCGAACTCATGGATGAGATTCGCTATACTTACAGGCCATAAACGCAATCGGGTCATCGGCAATAAACCACCCATCGCAGACGAAGGCCTCCAGTAATATCGAGAGACACCAACAACTTTTTCACTTGCCGTTTGAACCTACTCAGCTAACATTTCTTTTCTTTTGGTCAAACAACCCCGTCGAATCAACACGTTACTTGAACCTGACTAACTCTCCAATATTTCAAACCTCTTTACAGACAGAATCCCAACATTTCTGCCGTAAAATTCACCGCCACATTCTTCACTACGTGGACCAAACAGATTAGGCTAGAACTCGCCGCATAAATACGGTACACCCCCTTAATTTTTCGTGCTCAGCGCATACCACCTGCAATAACTTACGTGCCAGAAAGAAATTTATACACGTGTCAAAACGCAGGTATACGTACGGCTGCCAGCTGCTACCTCATGTCGTCTGAGCATCACCTCCTCGGGATGTCACCATCGCAACGCAACGACGCTGTGCTTCGGAATGATCCGTCCGTTAATATTGATAATCAGAACCGCCGAGAAAGCCTGGGTGCATCCTTGTGTACCTCTATCGGCTAAGTCACAAATGGCAAACACCTACCTAGCATTTTGGAAGGCCCTCACAACACCTCCAGCACCTCGTCACGAGTCCATAAGATGAAGAGGACACCACCTGACGAACACTGCTGCTACAACAATGAAAACGATTGTTTCACTAGCTGACCGCTATACCAATTTGTATGCCTTACATTATAAGCAATATTTTAGAAATCTACATATCAGCCATATATTTTAAAAGTAGCATGAGTCACTTCATACCTCTTGAATTTAAATGACCGTCATTTTGTACTTCTTGACTTAAATGGTTGGTTTCTTCTACCTGAATACATCTAAAAAAAAATCAACGCTAAGTCCTAGACACTTGAAACTTGCACATTATTATACTAAAATTAAGCGACGTTCGGCTTTGTCCACCGAAGGATGTAGCGTGATCTGTCGGCTCACGCATCGGTCCGGGTCTCTCGATCATCGCGCTTCGTCGAGTTGGCCAATGACCTCGCGGTTGACCAAAGCTTACTCACACCAGAGGCGAAGTTACAGGTCTTCAGATGCTCTTCCCATTTCCTCCACTTATGTACGTTCACAAGTTGCTGAATCTCCGAGTTGAGATCCCTAATACGGGGATTTCCGGGATCGGCCTGACAAAGGTTGTCGCGCTCATCGGCTAGGACAGCCGCTTCAGCAGAAAAATTTGGACGAGGGTCCGATATGCATCCCGCTGGGATGGAGCGGGCTTTCAATCGAGATGATTATTGACAGATGGTCTGATGCTAAAGTCAGCTTAGGTCGCCATGATACGCTGTTTATCAGAGCAGCGCTGACTATTGGTAGGTCTGGCGAGCTGCAGCAGTTCCCATAATCCTGGTGGGTGCGTCGTTAAATGTCGAATCGTCCTTCTGCTCAGCGAATTGTGTTCCCCTACGATCGTTTGACAGGCTTGAATGCCAAAGATCGTGGTGCGCATTAAAGTCACCAACTACCATTCGGTTTTCACCTCTGAGTAGCGCACCTATGTCAGGGTGATATCCCGCCGGGCAGCAGGTGACATGGGGTATATATATGTTAAATATTTTGAGCTCAACATCGCCTGACCTGATAGCAATTCCCTGAGATTCTAGGATGGTATCCCTGCGGTCGATGTCTGCTTCGATAAGACGATACTATGATGAACGCTAAGCCTCCACCATTATCTCGCTCTCGATCTCGACGCTGCACGTTGTATCCGGCGCAATTCAACAGTGTTGAATTTCCGTGCAGCTTCGTCTCTTGGACCGCAGCTATTAATATTCCGCGCCGACCCATGAAGGCTGTTATATCCTTGTTATCTTGCTCTGAAGTCCGTTACAGTTGAATTGTCAAATATTCGTGTGCCTAGGGAGACTTATTGGAATGTGGGGTGTTAGTGATGTGTGTTGCCGTGCTACCACATGCTGTGTTTGCTGCTGCTGAGGCCGTTGCCCTGTGGTGTTAGTGGGCGGCGTCGCAGTTGGGGGTTGCGACCGAGCAGCACAGCATGGGCCCTCATAGTCCCTCGTCCAATCTCGCGCGGTGCGCAGTCTTGAGCATGCCCTAAAGTGACACCAGCCAAGGCAGGTGTTGCTCTTGACTGATGTTACATTACGGAATATCCTGGACTGACACACCGTGCAGATTGTCGGGAGGAACTAGGAGTTGTTGGCGGTGGCGTGTGGGTGGTGGTGAAGTTGTGTCTGTAGTGTGGTCTGTCGTGTCTGTGTTATTGTCTATTGTATTGTGTTGTGGTGCGGTTGTGTTTGTGTTGAGTTGCTCAGGCGGACTCTGTTGTGCCGTGGAGGCAGCTCGATTGGCGCAGCAAGGGGCCACGTACGCAGTGGTCCATTGCCTGTGAGTCGTGAGGCCTGAGCAAACTAGGAGATGGCTCCACCCATTGCTCGTGTTGCATCTGACGGAGGTGGAGTTGTGGTGTAATCGTCTCTGGCACACGCAGCAGGTATATGTTTCTGGTCCAGGGTTTGACTCAATGCCAGCCCTAAGCAGAAGTATGCGAAGAACGAGTAGCCATATGGACGTACAACTTTTGAGGGATTTCACCGACCTAAACGGGGTTAGATCGCCGAAACAACAGTCCTTAGTCGGGTAAAACCCGAGTCTTTCCGGCACGTAGAACCGGCTGTCGTGGTGTGGCATCTCCTTGTGACTGGTGTAAAGTAATTATCCATTAGTATTTTCCCACAGGTCAATGAAATGTTGTCATTTAAAAAGAGGTTACTACTGAAATAGAGATAATTAGGGCATATTTAAATTTATGTCGTTTTCCTCATTTCAATGGAATGACCCCTTATCTTTTCTCGAAAAAAACTACACCGCTACTCACGTCGCACAGTGTTTCGACTATATGGAGGCAGGTAGAAAAAAGTCATGGTGACTGTTGGTAAAAAAAACGGTTTGACTTAGAGAGGGAATAGTAAAAGTCATAAGTACCAAATTTTACATTATTTACTCACCCCCCTTCTTCACGACCGATACATTCCCAAAAAAATACGGGAATGGGCGCGATACCGACTAATCAGTTTAGTTGCATTTGGCGCTGAACCCATTACAGAAAGTATTTCCTTTTCAATTGTAATTAATTATCTAAATGTCGTGGAATATTCAGGTGAAGGTATTTATCATTTATTTGGTATTTTCCTATTTTTTTACCAGAAAATTTACTTTGAAATGTAGAATGAGATTTAATGTTTCCGCCCACAAGAGTAGAGGGCGTGGCAATTATTCCATCTTTACAAAATTTCATAATTCTCTATTTCTAAGTAAAACTAGAGCACATGTCAAGTTTCAGTGAAATCGGTGCAGGTGTACTATTATTTCTATCTGCCTCCATATAGTCGAAACACTGTGCGTCGTATCGAATTTGGAGTCTCTCAATGAGGTGTAGTTTTCGATTCGAAGTTGTTAATAAATTATTTTAATATCTTTGGTTAATCGAAGAATATTTGCCTATTATGTATACGTATTTTTGATGTAATTTCTAGTAACGTTGAATGCCCTTATATTCAGGGCTATCAGAGAATCCATCGTAGTCCGATTTTTCGTGAATTCTACGAAAATGTCGGGCTACGATGGATTCTGTGATAGCCACCATTATCTTTATTTCTCTAGACCTTTATACTCTCTGGCAAAAAGTGGTTTGCGAAATCGAATTAAATCGTATTTATGTAATTTTTTAATATGTGTACTTTGTAAGAATATTTTATTCATACGACTTTAGAAATAAATATATACATATATATGTATTGGTTTAAAGTCATATGCGTGGCGAATGTGCATATATATACGATTTAAGATCGACGAGCAGTTGGGAAATCCGTTACCACATCTCTAAAGCAGGGATCACATTTGTCAGTCAAAGAGTTATGTTGTTTAGAAATTTCTATCGGGAACGAGCTCAGCTCAATAACAACTTTGCAAACAACACCACTCTGTAACGGAAAAAATTGACAAACCTGTACGAATGTACAAATCGTGTGATCTCCACTTAAAGCCAAATTCACCGAATTCAAACTACCACACACTATTACATTTTCTTGCTTTATTAAATAAAATTTATTTACAATTATTTACACGTATAGATTTTAATCAGAGTGAATTTTAGTCGCAATATATTGGAATTTAATAATGTTTGTCTAACAAAAAATTAAATGGTAGGTTTTTCTTAAACACTTTTACTATTTACAATATATTCGAACGAAAATGCAATTAATTATTTTATAGATACCTGTACTATTTTGGACAATGATTTTTAACTTAAGCTTAAGGGATCTACATACATACATCAATATGTAGTTCATTCAAATGTTATTTAATATTTTTAAGAAAAACAATTTAATTACATATTTTACTTCTAACTTATTAAGATTGCTTTATAATAAGGATTTACAAGTAGACGACAATCCAGTTACAGGCATGCATTTTTTACTGAAATCAGTTCGTGCCAGTGCCGAGCAACATTAAGCATAAATATCTGCCAGAAAGAACTACCAACTTTAAACAAATCACAATATTTTTACAGTTGATAAATTCGGTTCCATCGCTTTTAATTTCTTGGTTTAAAGCGATATATAACCGAACTTATTTCTCATTGAATGTTTTGAAAGCATTAAGCGGTTTGCAATACATGTGCTTGGTTAATATATAACTTAATTTACTTTTATGTATATCTTTAAAATATCAATAACTAATATCAATATTCCACGCTCAAATGCACCAGTATTAGATACTGGTTTTTAAAACAACAACGAAAATGAAACATTATGAGTATTCGAGATTTGTTGTGCATATATGCCCTTGTTTTCTGTATTTGTGGTATTTATGCATGCATTTTGTGTTAAAATTTTACTACATTATCTCCCAAAAACTGTAAATACCACAAATCGTCACTGAAATGCAAAAAATCCAAAAAAAATGATTTTTTTTGCATAAAAAGATGTGCAAAGTTGTAATACGATGAAAAGCATCATATCAATCAAAAATTGAGTTTTGAATTTTTTACTAGTTACGATTTCATTTTACTGATTATATTAGTTACGGCTTTTTGCATTTCAGGAGACGAAATACACAATACTAGGGTAGGTACATACAACAAATATCGAATACTCCCATTTTGTATATGCAGCATACATGAATCTAAAATCCAGAAAGGCCCTTTGAGAGCAAATTAAAAATTATTTTGTACGCATATCAATAAATGCATACTCCTTGGACATGGTGCAATGTAAAACACTCTTCCCATTTATCATTGTTATGAGGATTTTTTTCTTTTGTCGCCATCCGATTTATATACCAATTTCATACGCTGCACTAAATCGCGATGATTTAATTCCCAAAGTAAAGAAGTAATGTGTCCGAGCGTTGCTACATTATCATCGGCATCACGGATCCACTGTAGCAGCAATTGATAGATGACCTTGAAAGTTCACAGTTATTTAATATTTTTTGATAAGCACTTGCTTAGACATGCAATATATACATACCTCCCTGATTCCACCATGCATTTGATGGTCAATCAAAGCCTGCTCTATTTGGCCTTCCGAATGCCCCAATTCTCGCATAATATGCTTCCACCCTTCGCCTAGATGAGTGGATATAGTTTCCAATATACGGTGGTTCGGTTCGTCGCGTGACTGCATCATAGCTACAATAGTAGTTGTTTTACGTGGGTACTGTTTTCTCGAGTTCTCCGCGCCGTTGGTACCTCCGGGTGTGGTTGGTTCATCACTTTTGCTTTGTTTTTTACTTAAATTACTATTACATATGCCACTTATATTGCTATTAAAATTATAAACTGAACCAAAGTGCAGTTGATTAATGTTAGAGAACTGCATTACCATTTGCTGCTGGGCATTGTGTACATTCATGGTGTTCATAGTGGCCGGTCCAAGAGCGCCGGGTGTCGTTGGAGTCAAAGCACTGCTATCTGAATGCAATGCCAGTGCACCAGTGTACGAGTTCAACGGTGCTACTTCTATAAACTCAGCATCATTAGATGTAACATTGGTCAAATTGTAATTTGGATCAGACAGTTCACGCACCATAGATTCGGTAAGTTCAGTTGACGGCGTTGGTGTGTTATTGTTACTGACTGGTGATTCTTCGTTATCATCAACCGGCAATGCATCCGTTTCTAGCCTTCCTTTGGGAAATTTAACATCAACAGCTCCAGAATCACAATCTCCGTTGTCGTTTTTATTGTTATTCTTTTGGTTGTCTTTATTTGTGCCAAAAATGGCTGGTAACAATTTCTTTAGTTTGGGCATTGTGTTGGACACTTTTCCGTTGAGAGAGCACAGTTTTTCTATTTATTACAAAGGCCTCACCGCCAAGGATTCCGGAAATTCCAAAGATAACAAAGAATTGGTGAAAAAAATAACAAGTTTTGTTAACATATGACATGACTGCTATTACTGGGCGTCTTCACCTGCTTGCGATGCTCACTTACCCCACATCTACACCTATGGATTCTGTTAAAAAAAGCTTCGTTTAGACAAATCGCACACAATCTTCAAAATTGGCACAACACAAAATTTGGCACTTTTGAAATTATGCAGTAAAAATGTGCACAGAGCTTTAATTTATATTTTAGCAAAAGTTCGAGCAAAGTTTTGTTATAATTTGATTTTAAAAAAACCCAAGGTAAAGTCTCCTTTGCCCATTTGATGAGCACGTGCTACGAAATAGTTTTTCGCATTTTCTGACGAACGTGTTTTTTTGAGTTAAGCCACTTTTGAGATGGTGTGCGAAATGTCAGGTGGAGTCCGCAAATTTTCGCTGCTAATTCATAAATCTTGTCGAATTTTTTAACCATCGATGTTCTTAAATCAAATGTCATTTCGTAGTTTGGTAACTAAATTTTCATTTTATCTCGCAGGTCGATCGTATTGGCTTAGCTTGATTTTCGTGTCATTTACTAAAATATCTAAACACAAAAAAATTCTTCCTAACTCTGCAATTTCACTCGATTATGTTTTGGCCCTTTTTCGCAAATTTGGCAAAACTCCACCGAAGTGTCCCATTAAGAGCCTCCGTAGTCCTTCCATTGCACCGCAATGGGGATGTCGCTTGCTTTCAACTATCGTGTTTGACAATCATTTTCTCATTCCCACGACAGCCGGTACTACGTAACGGAATGGCTCGGGTTTTACCCGAGCAAGGGCTCTTGTTTCGGCAATTTAACCCCGTTTAGAGGCAAACCCAGGGCCAGAAATATACATCTGCTGCGTAAGCCAGAGACGATTACACACAAACTCCACCTCGGTCAGGTGCAACACTTGCAACGGGTGGAGTCACCTACGCAACTGCTCGGGTCTAAGAGCAGCAGCAGTGGAATACGTCGTTCGTGGCTCCATGCTGTGGGAACCGCACCACCTCCACGGCAAACCGTCACTAGCCCGAGCAACACAGCAGTAACACACCCACACCCCAACACAACACAACAATAGACACGCACACAAACACTACAGCACCTCCACCCACACACCGCCGCCGGCAACTCCTAGTCCCTCCGACAATCTGCTCGGTTTTTCAGTCCAGAATATACCGTAATGTGACATCAGTCAAGTGCAATTCCTGCCGGCAGGCAATACAACTCACCCACACCCCACATCACAATCGGTCTCCAAAGGCTCATAAAGGTGCTACAATTTAACTGTAATGAACGTCAGAGCAAGAGCTAGGCCATGAAATATTAATAGCGTGTGATATTTGACGAGCAATTAAGGGCCGGTTACTCAATGTCTGGTTAACACTAATCTCCGTTTAAACATCATTATCGACGTGTTCGGCTCCATGCATATAACAGGGGGTCGGTAACGTCGATAACGATGTTTAACCGCAGATTAGTGTTAACCAGACATTGAGTAACCGGCCCTTAGGGCGATGGCGTACCAATTCCGAGTTACCTTTGACAGTCTGCTCTCCTTCTCGGCCCACACAACCGCAATTGTCAACAGAGTACAGACCCGAAACAAGAACCTCAAGTAGCTGGCTGGCAGCACTTGGGGCAAAGACAAAGAAACGTTGTTGCCAACATACATAGCAATTGGCCGACGGGTTATAAATTAAGCAGTGCCCGTATGGTCGCTGGGGACTAGTAGGACGTAATGGCATCTATATGAACTGACGGACGAAGTCCACAGGTTAGTAAAACAACCTCTGGACCCAACTGCATACCGACAGGCCCTAAACGGCATTCACAGGGAGTGGGTGTCGAGTTATGTAGACTCTCGACCTGTAAATGCCGTTCTTTGCACAGAACAACCCGACGTGGACCGGGCAGAACTTTGTGTGCCTCGGGAGACGCGCACCACAATAGTCAAACTTCGCTCTGACCATTGCAGCAGGCTAAATTCATATCTGAGATGGATCAACGAACGGCCCCTCTTCGCATGTACCCAAAATCCCACACAGCTAATGCAGCGTTTTTGCTGCATTTAAAATGCAACATTTAGCACTTTCGAACATATGTTTTCGAAGAGCGTTCATGCTATCGCATTTAGCAAATGTACATTTACGCGAGTTCGAAATCGTATGCTTTTGACAAACAGCCGTGTTCCAGTCGCTTATTCAGATCCGTATCCATTACGATAAATTCTCACGGAAAAGATAATGTGCAAAAACCCCTACTGAAAAGGAAAAATAAATTCTAAACCGAAAATTCAATACAAAAACCTGAATGGTTTTAACCATAACCGAACATTTGTTTGTGTATATATTCATTTGTCGGTGCTGCCAATTATATTTTCCACACCTAATTAGGAAACAAAACAAACAGAGTTGATCACAAATTAATCCAGATTTCTATCAGCATCATATCGATGTTGAATTTGCGTAACTTTTCTTTATCCAAATAATGTAAAAAATAAATGAAATCTCGATCGGCGATCACTGAAACGCAGCTAGCGGTTGTATACTCGAAAAAGCAATGTTGCCACTTTTTCTCATTAAACCATGTTCGAATCGTGGAAATTTTGGAAGATCACATGGATGCTTTTAGCATTTAGATTCTAAATGCAAAGATTGAGTTGCATTTAGTTGCATTTAGATGACGAATTTTGTATGGATAAATGTACATTTAGAGTAGCATTTAGAGCTAAATGCGCTAAATGTACATTTACGCGTAAGCAAAAACAGCCCATAACACCCCTGCACCTATGGACAGCCCCTGTTGACTTCGCGCGACACGAGGGGGGTTTAATAGCCGCGACAGCAACAACAACAACAACAATCATTTCCTCAAAAAGAACACCTATTTAGAAAAAGTTCTTGACTATTTAAAATACTAACCTAGACTGGCAAATTCCAGGCATTTCAAATGCCTAGTCAGCAAAACTATCTCGCGTGCTAGAAAAAACAGCTCACAAGCGAGATTTACACGAAAGTGAAGACCGCAGGCTATTTACTTAAAATATTTTATCCCTTGATGGCGCTGGTATCAGTATGACCCATCTTCGAGCAAAGCTGCCACTGCTCAGATTTTATTATAATTTAAAGTTTTTGTGTCAACTTAATAAGGATACGCCACTTTAAAAAATTCGCAATTTATTAATGTAAAGGTTTTTGGTTCTTTAACAACTACTGGTGCATAACATAAAGTGTAGATCGACTTCAATAACGTAAACTTTTACGTTCTTTGTCAATTGCCAGATCTATTTGATTGTTTTTAGTTTTTGGTCTGGCATCCATTTTCTTTCAGTTTCGATGGAATGCAATTCAGCGATGACTTAACGAAAGATTGCTCGTGTTTTCCATGTTCGGGTTGAATGCGGGACTTTTTAAAAGTGCGCTTCAAACAGTAAATGCAACGGTTCGCATTCGTATGATTTTTCCACTGCTCACAAGAAATTAGAGAAAACTGCCGCACAAATACCTGGTGGATAGTAAAATTGTGTTAGAAAAGAGTTTGTCAACTTTTTTCTATCAGCCAAAAAGTCCAATTCGAGTATAAAATAATTAAAAGAAGATTGTGGAACGAGCAGCAGCAGAAGAGTGCAAGATTAGCGTGAAGCGCTTCGATTTCAGCATTTGGAAATTAGATATCGGCAAGAGATTTAAGTAAAATGGTTGGCGCAACGAAAATTCGCAATGACGAGGTAAGTGGAATTAAATTTGGAATCTGTTTTTTAATCTTTCCATCGAGTTTAGGAAACTTGGGGCTGCGGCTATAAGAATTTTTCTTAACTCATGTGTGTGTGTGTATTTTGATATAATTTCTATTTTTCTTATTGTAGCGGCTTCACTTTTTTGTTGCTACTTAACTGATTTTGTTGAAAGATGAGGGGAAACAAAATGGTGGTAGAGGTTCAAAAGACTTCAACACTTGGCGCACAACTACTGGGGTACCGTACATATATGCATGCACGTGGGTTTGTGCGTCATACTTTCTAGGGCAATTGGGGGGGTTTCTCGTGTCCCTTAAGGGCAATTGCCAATTCATGTTCATCATTACATTCAATTTAATGGCATTTATACAGCTGCTACCTAGCATTCATCTCTAAAAGTTAATAATATTTTATTTGTACACACATTGGTAGATTATATCTTATGTATAATTATTTCGCGAGAAATATTCCTTTGAGTTATAAAAATATATCGTACTCCCAGGTAGAGGTGAAGTACATATATTGTTATTGCTATACTGTTTTGTTCTAACCAACATATGATTTGCAATTTCGAAGAAAAGTAACGCATCAGAGCTTTATATGTATGTACATAAATTTTGTTTTCTTTTAAGAATGAGGCCAATAATTATACAAAGGTAAAAAATTTTGCTGTCACTAATACCACAGAAGTTACAAAGCGTGCGGCTTTGGGAGATCTGCAAAATCGGGCAGTTCTACGACACGCAGCCGCCAAGGATGCCGCCCAAAAAGAGTAAGTGAAAAACCATTTATAAAAATTGTTACGCAAGCTTTAAAAATAAACTTGTTAGGTATACAGTGAACCAACTATAAACTTGGATGGGACATTTCGGAAAGTTTTGGCTGCTTTTCTTTAGTTTATTTAATGTTTATTATTTTTTTATGAAAGTAAAGCTGATTACTTAAAAAAGTCCATATAAATCCAAATTCTTAAGAATTAAAAATTATGAAAATTCTGTAAAATTTCAACAACAAAACAAAAATGGTATGCTGTTTTGTAGCCCAATAAATTTTAGTATAATAAAGTGCAATTTTGAAGTAGCTGGGCTTATCGTTGATTTTTGGCAATTTTCCTTTTTTTTTACTTACGCATTTTTCTCCATAAAAAGCATGTTCACACTTTTTTTTTATACGGAAATTAAAAAATTTCCAAAAATCAGCGGCAAGTCCTAGCTACTTCAAATTTGCAATTTATTATACTAAAATTTATTGGGCTACAAAACTGCATACCATGTTTGTTTTCTATGGTTGCTGATTAAAAAGTTGAAATTTTGTAGAATTTTCATAATTTTTGGACAATTCTGGATTTATATGGTTTTTGTTAAGTAATCAGCTATACCTAAAAAAAAAAGTATTAAACAAAATATAAATTAATGAAAAATAACCAAAACTTCCTAAAATGTCGTGTCCCAGTTTATATTTGGTTCACTGTTTAATAAAGATTTAATTTTTTATTTTGCTATAACAATTTTTTCTCATCAGTGTTGATGCTAAATTGAAAAATGTAATCCAAAACACAAAGTCACGTGTTGACACACATTGGAAAAAAGCGCCAGGTGCTGTTGCAGCATCTATCAAGCCCAATGCAACTGCAGCTTCTGAACAGCCTAAAAAAAATGTTACGAGGTCGAATTCTTTGCGCGGACCCAATGGTGTCGTGCCATCGGCATTTCAACGCAATGTCGTGTCCGGCCAGAACAAACCCAAGACGCTTACTGTAAAAGTAGTTGAAAATAAATTACAACAGGCAAAACGTAAGTTAATAAAAATGTTTGTAGAAGGGAATTTTGTTCAACCACCTCATTGCATATTTATCTATGTGTGTACATATTTGTTTAGTCAGTAAAACTAAGGTTACAGAGGAGGCAAAGACTAAAAAATCAGTTACCGTAGGAGAACATCTAGCATTGCGGCGGGAAGATAGCAACTTGTCACGGAAATCCTTAACAAAATTGAAAGCAGCATTGTCACGAGATAGCGGCTCCAAGGTCATAGCGGCAAAGGCAACAGCGCAGAGTATAAAAGGCAAGCAGGAACCATTAGCAGCAAAAGAACCAAGAGATTCTGGCTCTGAAATCAGCAAGCAGTCTTCATTAAAAATTAAAAGCGTGCAAACACTCTCACCCGAGGGTATAGAAGGCGTTGAAGATATTGACTCTGGCGATTCTGATCAACTTTTACTCGTATCTGAATATGTAAATGATATATATAATTACCTATTTCAATTGGAGGAGGAACAATATATTCGCAAAAATCATTTGGATTGTCAAGATGAAGTTCATCCAAAAATGCGGGCTGTGCTAATTGATTGGATCAATGAAGTGCATTGTCAATTTCATTTGGACCCAGAAACATTCCAAATGGCCGTAGCTATTATAGATCGATACTTACAAGAAGTAAAGGATACGAAACGTATACATTTGCAATTAGTTGGCGTCACTGCGCTATTCATTGCAGCTAAGTACGAAGAGCTAATACCACCATCAATTTCCGAATTTGTTTTCATTACTGATGACACCTATAACTCGAAACAAATTGTGCAAATGGAATTAAAAATCTTCAAAACGCTCGATTGCAATTTGGCCCGTCCTTTGCCAATACACTTTTTGCGTCGCTTCTCAAAGGCGGCTAAAGTAGAAGATATACATCATGCGATGGCCAAATATTTCATCGAATTGACATCAATCGAATACGATTTAGCAGCATACAAACCGTCTGAGGTAATACACCCAAATTAGATGCGCCAATTTGAATTGAATTTTAAGCTTCATTAAAAATATGTATATGCGTTATTTTGCAGATCGCCGCTTCGTCGCTCTTCTTGGCTTTACATTTGCTCAAAGACAATGCTAAATTACCAACTGGCTTTAACAACAAGCACTGGACGCCCACAATGCAGTGGTATTCTCACTACTCGGCTGAACATTTGCGACCCATAGCCAAGAAGATTGCTGCGGTGGTGCGTAATGCACCCGCTGCCAAACTGAAGTCTGTCTATACAAAGTATCAAAAATCGAAATTTTATAAGATTTCGTTGCGCTCAGAGTTATATGATAAACTAATTGATTCCATAATTAATCATGATGAATGAGGAAGATTTAATGAGGGCAGTTACAGCGACAGGAGCTGCAATGCGTTAAAATTCTGTTTATGTAGTTTAGTTTAATTGTTTTTCTTTTATTTTTAAACTTTTCATGATTTTATAACATATTTCTTTATAATATATTTTTTTACTTTTAAGTATTATGCGACAATTTAAAATAAGACAACACACATACTAACTCACCGTCGGACAGCAATCAACATAAGTTTTTCTTCCATATAATGTGCGGCATTAAAGGAAGGTTGAAATCCGGAACAGAAGAATGATGTCGAAAGCAGCAACATGCAAGTGGAAGACTTCTACCACATAAATATGTATGTACAGTATCGGTCATATCTATAGCACGCCGTTTCAAAGTGTGCCACTTATGTTTATTTATTTATTTTTAAGAATTTTCAATTAAAATACAGTTCTTTCTCTAACAAAACCCATATAAACCCAAGTTTAAAAATTTGTAGAAAACTACAAAAAAGTGCAACAAATTTTCACCTAGATTTCAAACTTTTTTCTTGGTTTGTCTGAGAATGAATTAAATTTTAATTGAAAATTCTTAAAAATAAATAAATAAACATAAGGGGCACACAATATCACTTGGAAATGGCGTGCTGTATGTATTAACACTGGGGCATTCCTTTAGTATTAAATATAGGCTGACTTCCAACACGTCAATTGCTTTGCATACGTACAAAGTATAATGCTCCATAGCGCCGAACTACAAAATGTTGACAATGTATACTTTTTCAAAAAGCATCCGAAGTTATCGAAACGCATCACTAGACCACTCAGAGCATCAGAAACAAAGTTGATGCTTCGTTGGTTATTAGTTACCATTGGTGTTTTAAAATTGGAAAATTCAGAGAAATTGTTCTTCACTATATTTAATATTTAAAATTTCAATATGCAATGTATATGGTGGCAATGTGTCGCAACTCTGCATATACAAACAGTATAACAGTTTCCAAACATTGTATTGATACGTTTTGGAAGTCGGCCATCGTTTTAAGATGTGTAATAGCAAATGCGATATTTGTTAAATGTTTCCAATATGTAACTTTCCTATATGTGAGGAAAATACCGACAATGCAACGTATATTACTAACTGATTGTACTCCATAAAAACATTTTGTAAAGTGGCGGTTGGAAAGAATATTTAGAGTAATTCTTCGGCAAGCAATTTAATTATCTTAGTAGCATATTGTGTGTCAAAGTTAAATGTTTAACCTATCCAACGCAATCAGCATATCACCGCTCTTTAGTAATTTAGTTAAAACTATGCTCAAATTTAGCAGATTTATATAACTTCTATGTATGATTAAAAACAATTGTACGTAAACTTAAGTTTGAGTTTATTAAAATTTACACCCTACCAACAATTTTATACAGATATACGGGATTGTGAGGGCTGTGGCAACTAAAATTCCGCAAAAATTATAGCAATAAATGTATTTAGTGATGTTTGCCAAATTTTGATGAGCGTTTTTTTTTCTCCAGTTAAAAAGTGTTCTTTTCCAAGACTCGCTGCTGCCGACCCGCCGCCGCACAAAGGTCGTTATGCTGCGCATATTTCGGTAACAGTTGCTCAGCGACAAAGCAAAGTATTCAACACGGCTGAACAATGTAAAAGATGCGACAAAAAAAAATGTGTACACTTGGAAACTCTTTGGGTGGGGAGCATTTACCATGCCTACAGCAACAACGCTACGCGCTCTATTTTGGTGTACATTTGCAAAACAGCAACCACTTTCCATAACTGAGCCCCTGCCACTGCTGACAACAGTTTTTTCAGCAAGTTGGTGTAGCAGCAGTGCGCGTCTACTGCCCAAATGACCGCCCATTTATTCAGTGGTTCACCCCACAAGAGAACGTGCTTATGGTATAGATACCAACGGGGTAGTGCAAAACCAAGAATGCATATAAAAATGTTTGTTTGCTTTGAAGGTTTTCGTATGCTTTCATATGTGGTGTTTTTTATGCCGTGCAGTCAGCCCCCAAACAAGCAACTTGTGCTTGAATTTGGCGGCGCAAATAATGCGTTTTTTTATAGCGCATGTGTGTGTGTGGGTGCGTTGTCAATAGCGTCGGTCGTTAAAATGTCGAAAAATAATGACGCTCATAAAACCGTCAAACTCGGATTTCGAATAGGCGCACAGCAAACGCAAGAAAGTAGCATTTTTATGTAGCGCCAGCACAATGCCCACCAACGAAATCATTACAAAACATAACAGCCTGCGCAACAGTAACAGCCGAAGAAATAACAGATGTAATGTATGTAGTAAATACTGTAATGCACAGAGTGCGATGGGATTTATGTACATATGTATGTATGTACATAAATAGTGGTGAACTGACCTTGCATAAAAATACATATCGCTCATTTACTACAAGACTGGCATAATTCCAAAAAGTAATGCAAATTACTCGTTATATTATGCTTCATAGTTTCCGCGTGAAAAGAGAAAATGCATTTGTATTTTCTGCAATTTGAGAGTAAATTGAAAACTTTAAAAGCGTCTACCGAAAAATCCGGTTCATTTGACTAAAATGTTAGGTATGTATATAGCACGCGATAATAAGATAGCACCTCACATCCAGTTCAGTCGTTGAATTTTTATTATTAGGCCCCTATTGCGAGTGTCGACTGGCAGTAGAATAGAAATTTGTCGATCGAGTCGATCATCTTTTATTTTGCTATTGTGTAACTTGATCGATAAAAATTTGTACTATTGTGAATGGTTGACNAGATTTCAAGTTTCCGAGCACTAGTTAATTAATAAATTATGCAGTATTTTGTAAACTTTGATGTTGGTTCTGCGCAAAAACACTGTGGATGGCGTAGCCGGAATTATATGCACAAGAAATATTGTATATCTTTCACAAAAGAAGCGGAGCTTCCTCCACTGCTCTTTACGTAAATTCCTTTGCCTATGTCCTCACTCTCCTGCATCAGCTCGACCAACCGCGCAAGTTGCCTTTTGTTGCTTACAATTTTTGATCTGTAATTCAGACACATATGTACATACATATGTATATTTCACAATTTTTTACAACTTCCAATTCAATTGACTTACTTTTTATCCATTATAGTACCACTTACTTATGTAAATTTTATAAACGCAAACTCCAACGACTAAAAAACGGCAATAGAAGGATGAGCGATTAAAAAGTATTCACAGTCGCTAATTGAGCGACTAAGCGACACTCACAATACTATCGATAATCGATAATCGCTTAATAGTCGTTTTTCTACTGCCAGTCGACACTCGCAATAGGGGTGTTATAATGTTCATAAATTTTGTATAAAGTATAGCTAATTATCTAATAAAAACCAAATGAATACAAATTTCACACTTTGTACAAAAATTAGAAAATAATCCACGAAAATGTTATACTAAAATTTTATAGGCTACAAAACTGCATGCCAAACAAATTTCAAGAAATTCGAATGAAAAAGCTTGGAATCTATGTAGATGACATTCTGTGGACTTTTTGTTTAATTTTTGTAGTTTGAAATTTGGATTTACAATCGACTGCTGAATGGAAGATCGACCCATCTGGGCAGCCAATTCGAAAACGCCCTATTTCAGAATTTTATTGAAAAACACCCAATCTCAGCTTTGGTTGAAAAACGCCCTGTTTCAGAATTTGTTCCAAAAACGCCCTATCTCAGCTGTCGATTCAAAAACGCCCTATCTCATCACATTTTCAATACATTTTGAAGTGAGATAGGGCGTTTTGAACCGAATTCTGAGATAAGGGCGGAAAACCCCACAACCCTAACGGCGTCGTCCCTATGGACCGACCCCATAGAGGCTGCACGCTTCTTGGGGCTGCCGTTAGTGGAACTCGACGACAACGACTGAGATATCAGCCGATCTGGGCGGGGGTGTTGTAGCCGCTACAACAACAACAACATAGAGCGTTCTTCAACCATATTCTGAGATAGGGCGTTTTGAACCGAATTCTGAGATAAGGGCGGAAAACCCCACAACCCTAACGGCGTCGTCCCTAGGGACCGACCCCATAGAGGCTGCACGCTTCTTGGGGCTGCCGTTAGTGGAACTCGACGACAACGACTGAGATATCAGCCGATCTGGGCGGGGTTGTTGTAGCCGCTACAACAACAACAACAACATAGAGCGTTCTTCAACCATATTCTGAGATAGGGTGTTTTTCAATTAAATTCTGAAATAGGGCGTTCTTGAAAAGTTTTTTGAGGTATGACGTTTTCGAACTGGCTGCCGAGGTAGGTCGATCTTCCACTCAGCAGTCGATATGAGTAGTCCACTTGCAAAGGCGCTATGTAAAATTTTTTAGTTTTTGGTGGGTAACCGGGCGTCTTCACGTGCTGGAAAATCTCGCTTGCGTGACGACGCATCCCCTCCGACGTAACAGAGATTTATACAGTTCAATTCTGAATACTCCCTGGGAGTTTGTTCTCCGGGAATTACTTTCTCCCGAGAAAGAGATTCTCCAATAATTATTTTTTGACAGCTCAACTCGGCCATTTTCCTCGGAAATTTTAATTCATGATAGGAGGAAAGGAGAAAAAGAGAAAACTCCCAGGGAGTTTCTGTTCAGAATCGGCCTAATAAATTTAAAGAAAGAGGCCTGTGAACCATTTATTATGCCAGTGGGTCATAAGAGTAGATCTCGTTTTTCACGAGTTTAGCTTGTAGCCCTAAGTTCCCTATATGAGCATTATAGTACGACCAATAGTCACCAACCTACCGGCCCTGCTTCGATAACTACTACGCAAGTTTAGAGAGTTTCTCACCAAACTTCGATGCTTACCATGTGTTTGAATTTGTAATTGTATCATTGCAGAGAACCATCGATATGTACATATCGTTACCTTAATTCACAAAGGCCCTAATCAACAAATCTGTATTTAACAGAAGCAAAAAACAAAACAGAAATGATGCATTCATATAGGGCGTTTTAAAAAGTAGCATAACTCCGTTGTTGCAAATTTTTAGTGGAGGTATATTTTAATATATCCTACCAAAATCTGTGAAAAACGCAGTTTCGAAAAGTGTGAATAAAGGTGACGATATGTAAGTCTAAATTTCCAACCGATTTTATCATTTTGAAAAGATTTTCTTGTAATTAAAGTGTACATATTTCGTTTTTTATTTTCACCTCAATTTATTAGTTTTCACTTCACAATAATTAGTTTTTACTTGACGGTTTTACCTAGCAATAACTTTAATACAATGTGATATTTTTGTTATAAATACTTCAGTGACTTCGAAAATCAAATCAAAAGCAATAACGCAGCCAAGTGCTAAAATTGTGAAACAAATAAAACACCAACTTTTTTCTTAGGGCGCTCTCGTCAAATGTATTAAATGCGCACACATTCAGCACTTGACCTCACCGAATTTGGCAGCTTCGTTCAAACGAACTCTACAGACAATTTACCCCGCATATTTTTTCCAGAATTGAGTCTCTATATTTAGTTGTTAATAGCATGTAATAAAAAGGAAACATGAATGGTGTTTTTCTATTTTTTATAATTATTTAATTTCGGCTTTTTTTCTTCGCATTATCCTGTTCTTTATCTTTACGTTTATAGTGTATAATTTATGGTAAGTATTTGTTAGTGCGACCTGTATTCGTAGTTGGTATTTTACGCGCATCTAACTATGAAATAGTGTAACTTTTTCTTTTTGCTACTGTTCTAATTCAACGTGGCTTTGCACAGCAAATCTTCACTTAACCCTGGAAAGTCGACAAGAATTTTGAGACAATGTCTTTCAGTTTGGCATCAGAAGCCTCTGAGATTTGACCATCCTTCGCGATTTGGTCAAGCAGACCCTGTTCGTTGGTCTTAATGTGTTGCAAGAATTCCTTTTCGAACTTGGTGATTTTGGCGGGATCCATTTTGTCCAAGTGACCGCGCACACCGCAGTAGATGACAGCAACCTAAAAAAATTTAAATATCGCAAGGGTTTAATAATTTTGAGGAAATTTTAATTTCCATTTTCTTACCTGATCTTCAATGGACATGGGCACGTATTGACCCTGTTTCAGCAATTCAGTTAGACGCACACCACGGTTCAACAGCTGTTGAGTTGCGGCATCCAAGTCAGAACCGAATTGGGCAAAAGCAGCTACCTCACGGTATTGAGCCAATTCCAATTTCATGGAACCAGCCACCTGCTTCATGGCCTTAGTCTGGGCAGCTGAACCGACACGCGACACAGACAAGCCGACGTTAATGGCGGGGCGGATACCCTTGTAGAACAATTCAGTTTCCAAGAAGATCTGACCGTCAGTGATGGAGATGACATTGGTTGGAATGTAGGCAGACACATCACCAGCCTGTGTCTCAATGACGGGCAAGGCAGTCAAGGAGCCACCTCCCATAGCGGGCGACATCTTAGCGGCACGCTCCAATAGACGCGAATGCAAGTAGAACACATCACCAGGGTAGGCCTCACGACCGGGGGGACGACGCAGCAACAGCGACATTTGACGGTAGGCAACAGCCTGTTTCGACAAATCGTCGTAGATGATCAAAGCGTGCTTGCCCTTGTCACGGAAGAATTCTCCCATAGCGCAACCAGAGTAGGGAGCCAAGTACTGCAGAGGAGCAGCATCAGAGGCAGTAGCGGATACAATGATAGAGTAGCCCATAGCACCAGAATCAGTCAAACGCTTCACAATCTGGGCGACAGTGGAACGCTTCTGACCGATAGCAACATAGATACAGTACAATTTTTTGCTCTCGTCCTGACCAGCATTGAAGCGCTTCTGGTTGATGATGGTATCAATAGCCAAAGCAGTTTTGCTGAAAACAAAAAAAGTTGGTATACATACATAATTAGTAAGTAAAAGTTGTTTAACAATATGTGTATTTAAATGGTAATCTAAGAAATGTATGTGTTCTTACCCAGTCTGTCTGTCACCAATGATCAACTCACGTTGACCACGGCCAATTGGCACCAACGAATCGACGGCCTTAATGCCAGTTTGCATAGGTTCGCGCACAGACACACGTGGAATGATACCGGGAGCCTTAGTACCAACACGGAAACGGTCCTTGGTGTTGATGGGTCCCTTACCGTCAATGGCGTTACCCAAAGCGTCAACAACGCGACCCAACAACTGCTCACCTACTGGCACATCGACAATAGCGCCGGTACGCTTGACAATATCACCTTGCTTGATCAGTTTGTCGTTACCGAAAACGACAACACCAACGTTATCGGGTTCCAAATTCAAAGCCATACCCTTCAGACCGGAGGAGAATTCCACCATCTCATCGGCTTGGATGTTATTCAAGCCATAGACGCGAGCAATACCATCACCAATGCTCAACACACGACCGGTCTCTTCCAAATCGGCCTTGGGCGCAACACCCAAGATGCGCTCCTCCAAAATGGAAGAGATCTCGGCGCTGCGCTGAGTGGCCGAGACATGAAGTTTACGTGCAGCCAAAGAAGCAGCTGGGTAAGCTGCCTTACAGGCGACCTGAAATAAAAAAAAAATGGCAATGTTAGGACTAAAAAATTATAGTGGAAATTTCATACAACTGAGCATAGGGCTCAGCAGGTACATCAGTGAATAGAAAGTTGCCCTTTCGACGAATTCTCTGGCAAGAAATGGAAAATAATGTTAAATCATTGGAAAAACAGATTTAACAGAATGCGCTTGCCATGATTTTAAATTACATACTCAAAGTAGGTACATATGTACATACGTGGAATGTGCTTAAAGTAGCTTATGTAAGTAACATTGTGGTCTAGAAAATTTTGTATGAGCGATTTGCTTGACTGGTCTTATTATTATTATGTTTCTGTATTATTATTAGAGCTAAAATCGATTAAATTACAAATTTTTGGCGACATTTAGGGAGTGGACTAAATTTCCTCCATCACTTGATTAACATAACCTTAAAATCGATATCGTTCAGAGGGGGCTTCGTTCAGTGTTCACGCAAAGGCCACACGAATGCTGCTCGTTAATTGGGCTCGCAGCCCTCATTATGTAATTTAAAATTTTGTAATTTATTTGAAACCATAATAAGAACATTCTGTAGTTTTGTTTATGAGAATGAGTGTTATTCAGTCACTACTGAAACATTATTATGTAATCTTTTGCTCCAACCTCCACTTTATATGTTAACGCGTGAAAAGCGGCGTTAAAATGTTGCGTAACTTTTGCACCAAACACTTTAAAAACCTCATCAAATACTTAATTCTATACGAGTTTTAACAAACGGGGGCAACTAAAAGCACATTACAAGTCCTTAAAACCATAAATTTCATCGATTTCGACTTTAAATTTTCCCAATTGCACATTTCAATAATAATAATGCGTTTGTTAAATAACCGGTGCATACCTGTGTAGCAGCCTTTGGAAAATTACGTGCCACTGATGAGGCCAGACGTGCAGAAATCATAGACATCTTTTAAATTCTCTGTAATTTCTCCACCAAGATAAAAAATAACCTTTTGCACCCAACTACAATTCTCTCGACTTATTTTTCAAAAGATGGCTGGTTGATGGCTGCCGAGTTCACGTTCACTATATTCGCAAAGTGGTACGAATTGCCGACGTTCGACGTTCAGTAGTTTCGTTAAATTTTAATGAACATTGGCTGAATAGGAATGAATTAACGAGATTTTGGTAATGAATCACAGTGATGTTGCCAACGGTAATAATTTGTTGGATATTTAGATAAAAAAATGTTACTTAATTTTCCATTATGCATTATGCGAGATTATACAATTCTTAAACAAGACGTAAAAATCCATTAGGAGATAAGGAAATGCCGGCCAGCGGAATTTTCCCGAGACATTTTTGTTTCAACAAATCATTCCCACTTGCCAAAGTGCTTTGAAGTTAAATGATGTCAAACGCGGGTATTTGTTGCACTGGTGATAAGGCTAGTATGTTTTCGTTTTTAATGATGCCTGCGTTATCTCCTTAATTAGTGTAATAAAACACAATGCCGAAAGGTACAAAACGCAGGGCTTGAAATTTACTACCAAAATTACCAACAATTCAATAATGAAATATTTACATACACATAAACTTAGGTTTAAGAAAAAAATTATGACATTTTCTGATAAAAATTGGGATTTAGTCAAACAAAATAAGATACATATATCACCGGAATTCACAAAAAATAAAGAAGACTTTAAAATTTGTATAAAAACTTCACTTTATAAATCTATTTTATTTTTTATGTATAAGACCATATATGTAAGTGTAAATCGATTTACGCAAAAGTTAAAATTCCAGTACTGATGTAACTTAAAGCCGGTTGTTGTACTTAAAATCGACAATCAGTATTTACACACGTCAGTTAAATCTCCACTGCAAAGACGGGCGTAATAGCAAATTAATTCTCGTTGAGAAGTTTACTTTAAAGTTTTGTAGTGAAACAATAAAATTAACTGCCGAACGAAAGTTAGTTTGCCACTACGAGATTTTCATTGTTACACGAATGCACATCTTCATTTTAAATTTTTAGTTTCACATAATTTTAAAATTTTTCCAGGAACTACTTCGTTTTTTCTCAATTGAAGTGTAACACATTTTGAGCCTTTAAGAGCAAATCAAACAAAAAGCTTTTATGGCATGTACGCACTTTTACGCAAAGCAAAAAAAAAAAACGAAAGATAAGAGTGTGGCTCATTAGTATGCGCACTATTGTTTTTTATGAAAATATGCGAACAAAAATAAAAATTTAAAGGCGAAGACAAGTAAAAAATTAATCTCAAGAAGATTACGTCTTCCCATAGAGACACATACAAATTTATGCACAAACGCAAACTTGCATAAATTGGCAAGTTTCACTGAAAGCTCACTTCCACGGTTGCATTTCAAACATTTTCATTCTTATATCGCTTCCGTTTCTTTAAACTGGTTGTATTAAATTAGAAAAAAGTTTATTTATTTATTTGTAGTGAAGTACAGCATTTATTTACAGCTTATATAATATAAAAATTTTCAATTTTGAATGTCCAAATTTTGAATGTCCGTTCCTTTTTTACTATTTGCTTTAATTTATTATCACATCTTAAGTTCGGCAAGATCTGAAAAGTTCTATTAGTTAAACTTTTTTTAGTTACTCACTTTTTTACTTTCTCACTTAAAGTAAAATTTTTAATTACTCGATTGATAACGGTTTTAGATCTTTAAAAATGAAATTAGAAAAAAAATCGATGGTTTTACAGAGAGAATACGAGAATTCGCTGGTCAGGGCTTGCAGATTTCGGCTAAATTTTAAATCAATGAAATTGGCAAAATAATTTAAAACTTGTATCCCAGCAAGAATTTGTAACCTTCCCCCTCAAGTGCCTTACTTTCCTTTGCTTAGCAAATTTTTACTCTGTTAGAACTCGATTTGAGAAAATTGATAATTCGTAACTACAAACCCGTATAACTTAACCGCTGAACGAAAAGAACTAAAAACAAAATGGTAAAGGTATGGATATAATTAAATAATGCTATTTTTTGAAGTGTTATTATTTAATTGAATTTTTTCCGTTGCAATATTTGTACAAACACAGGGTTGCATATCTCATATATAAATGGCCAATATTGGCTATTTAAGTGCAGATTAATAGGCAATCTGAAATTGGGCCTCGGAGAAGCACCACTTTTTGGATTCTCGGAATTTTCTGATAGCGATGAGGCGCTGCTAAATATATAAAGATATATACAGTGCAATCCGCTTTTAGTGGACTCTACGGGACCGCGTCAAATTGCCCATTATAAATAACGTTGTAATATTTGTACAAACACAGGGTTGCATATCTCATATATAAATGGCCAATATTGGCTATTTAAGTGCAGATTAATAGGCAATCTGAAATTGGGCCTCGGAGAAGCACCACTTTTTGGATTCTCGGAATTTTCTGATAGCGATGAGGCGCTGCTAAATATATAAATATATATACAGTGCAATCCGCTTTTAGTGGACTCCACGGGACCGCGTCAAATTGCCCATTATAAATAAATAATGTACATACATGTATAAATACAAAATTGTATACCTCTTATTGCAAGGTAAATGTCCGTTTTTCCGTTCCAACATTTTTCCTAAAGTGAACAAAACACAGATCAAACACCAACGAGCCGTCACTTACAATCTACGGCAGAAGCTGATAGCCTATTTTGACAGATTTCGGTGAACCAATGAACCTTGTTCAAGGATATAGACATTTTCTGCTGCAGAGACGGTTGCCTCTTTTTACTGAATTCGAGGAATTACCGAACTTTGTTCATTGCAGATATTTTTGTCCATTAGAGGCGGAATCCGTTCATTAGCGCATGCTTTATTTTAAATCTTGGGGAACTATTTATAAAGCACATCACTAAATCTTCTGATTGCTTTCAATATGGCAAGACAGCTCATAATTTTTACAATTTATCAACCATCAAAAAACTTATTTTTTGTGAAAAATTTTGATATGAAACTACCATCTCTCTATGAAAATGCGCCATAGCAAACGGCGGATGTAAGCCATTCAGAGTTTAATATGTGATCATGATCAGGAAAAAATAGTGAATAAATTAAAGTCAGACAAAATCGTTAATCTTTGATAAAAACATAAACAACAAGCAGTAATCATAGCAATAATTTCTCTTGAATAAAAAAAGAGCCTGTAATTATAAAAATATAAAAATAAAAATCTTTTGAGATTAAAGCTTAGTATCCAGCTCTTAAGAAAAGCAAAAACTCCATATAAAATGACGTACAAGAAATGGCTAAGAAATTTTCTTGAGTCAAATTTCCTTAAGGCAGTACGCAGTTCTTCAGAAATTTAGTACGCTTTCTACTACGGTTTTCTAAAGTTTTTTGTGAAAAAAGAGCACAAGGCAACCCAGGTTTGCAACAGAAATATATGCCCGCTCCATTATTTCTTGAGGAAAGAGTGAGGCAACAGGCTGTGAGGTATAAAAAATGTCAACATTCCTTGGACACACACGCGAAATAATGGCAATTTTTTCTTGACCGTTTTCTTAAGAGCTGGATACTAAGCTTATAGCGGCACTCGCAATGAAGATAATGTTTGTTTGTGGAATCAGAGGTTGTTCCTACTCCGTTAAGGACATGTGAACTTTTAAATAAAAAATGCAATAAAAGTTTGCGTTCTTGATTAATTTACATACATACTTACATACATACATATTTACACGATTTTATTTTTAACTGTTCGAGTTGTGTGAAACGCATTTCATGGTGTTTCGTTAAGTTTTGTAATTGGTACAACACTACTCACGTATGGTGGCAACACTAAACTTGATGTCATTGCCAGCACTTAGTTTGCCGCTTTATTGTTCACTTCCGCGGATTTGCCTACGCTTGCACTTGTTTGTGTAAAAATAATTAAAAAGAAGATAATCTAAACGCATAATGTTTTGTATAAGTAATCAATTTCTACATATCAATCTAATATCGTGTAACAAATTGTTGATCGTTATAGAATTAATATATATATTCTTGATTCCACTCAGTACGCAGTGTTTCCGCTTCTTATATTCCGCATCTGCAGTTTTGGCATGGCGGTTCCGTTTCCTGCAATTTATCGTAAAAAGAGCTGAAACTTAATCTATTTCATAAAATAAAATAAATCAGTAAATATTATTTGTGTGTGTAAAAAATATAAAAAAATCGTGTTATATTGAAATATTTCTGCAAAGTTGAACTGCTTGTTCCAAATGGATTTTGATTTAAAATATGTAAAACGTCATCTCCGGTAAAGCCCTCAATAATCAATTTAGTATTTTCTAGCAGCTTCATTCAGCTTCTGTGCCAATTCGTTGCGTGCCGACTAAATGTCATCGCATCACTTGCCATTTCACTAATTCTCCTATGGCATGCCAGATGCCAGCATTTGCGCAAGGATAATGTGAAAAAGGGTCTGGAAGGTGCATTGGAAATGAAGTCTCCATATATACTCTCTTCGTCTCCTCATTTAACACTCACTTTTGGAGAGGCTGCGCCATGTGCATGGACCACTGTCAACTTAAATGCCAAGCTCCAACGTATTGTGCGTGTGGACACAGATGATTTCGCGTTGTGCTTTGCTTTGCGCCGGATGTGTTGTGCGGAATGTGAGTTGCTTGCTAGGTTGTGACTGTGAACTGCTGTAGATAGGCCCGTTAAATATTTGTGCTTGTCAATTGAATGAATAATGGACAAAGGACTCGATTGATGACTATGGGTGGTATTATAATTCATAGAACTAACGTCTATACGTACACAGACGTATGTAAATATACGCTACACATTCCATTGTATGTTTCCGAGATTCTTGCCTGATTTAGAGTCTCCAAGCATCCATCCAGCAAGTAAAAGAGAACAGCGCAATGACGATGACAATTCGCTGGCGAAGATATGTGCCCCATTCAGTAGTCAGAGCTTGTATGGCCTAGCGAGCGCAACTAAAAACGTGAAAATATGGTGTAGTGAAGTGTTGCTTATACTTTTGCCACGGGTGATCAATAGCAAAAAAAAAAAGAAAAGAGAAACTAAAGAAAAAAGTAATTACAAAATAAAATAGTACATTGTAGAAACAGCGTTCAATTTTACATACTTATGTATGTATGTATTAAACAAGCGCATAGAACTCCGGTGACGTAAAATGTGTGCTATGATAATGGAATATCGGGTTTTTGACTCAACTAACGGGCGATTAAATAAACGAGGATGTGCAAGTGGTAAAATGGTATTTAATATGAAAAATGGCAGCAATATGCACTTGGTCACTTTTTACACATTTGTACTGAAAAATTAAGCAATCACATTGTATGCACATAATTATGGTCTCTGTGCATGGGCAAACTCACTTGACGCGGGGAGAGGTCCAAAGTCATAGGCAAAAATATGTACTTGTATTTAATATTAATACAGAAAAGCAATTAGAACCATATGTATTAGGAAACGCATTGAATAGATTGTGCAAAAACAAACATCGGTACATACATATGTATGTATGTATATATTATGAGAAAAATCCATTCGGTTAAATAAGTGAAAACAAAGAAACTTTAAGCCGAATCCCTTTTTAAAGCAAACACTGAGTACGACTGCGAACTTGTCACTACATACATATATATATGCACTTATGTATATAGAGTAGACAGATGTGACCGAGTGAATAATTAACAATTTTTATAGTTATGTTTAAAGTTTACAAAAGTATTTATGTACGTTGCAAGTAATAAGAGATAACCACAAACAAAAATACCTAATGAGTGTGCGGAGCTTATATTTGATACTACCTACAACGTTCTTGCTTTCATAACATTTACGGTACTCGTTTGTCTTATTAACCAAATTATGAAGCATATTGTTGGGCGTTGAAATCACGAGTGCCGATTGGTGGCTTTGAGTCGAAGAATAAATGTGAGTGGAAAATTAATTTTAGAACCATTAAATTTTTATGTATGTAATTCAAGAAATTTTATATATGCGCTAATTACCTAGTTTGTTAAAAAAATAATGACATTAAACTCGTACTTTGATTCGGTAAGGGTACACGAATGCCACTACATGGGTTGATGAGTTGGAAAATTGCTGAAGTCGATATGCGTGTGACGACATAGGAATTTCGCTTACCGGAATATAAAATCGCATACGCACAACTACTTACAAATACAATACATATGTATGTAGTTTTATAGCAATGAAAACGAAAGCAAAAACAAAAAAAGACAACTATGAAAACTCGTGAACATAAATGAATAGACCAACATACATACACACATAAATATGTGCAAACATACATCCACAAATACATACATACATAAGTAACTGTGTCCATATGTATAAGCATCGTTTGCTACCGAAGTGCTAAGTGTTAAATTGCGGTGATGGGGAAAGGTGTGCGACAACTACTGATATCGATAAAACCAGAGATGATTAGAATTCAAACAATTATAAAAATTGTTGAAATTAAAGTGTTTTTATAAAAAAAGATTATAAAATTCACTTAAAATCAACATTAAGCTCTTTTCAAAAGCAACAATATGAAAATTCTACCACATAAAAAGTACAAAAATTAGCAAGTGAGAAGTGTAAAAAAAAAAACGCAAAGAGAGTACCAAAAACATTACTGGGAAAAGTCCAAACCAAAACACCGACCAACAGAGCTACCGCAAGCAATCAGCAGGAGCAGTAGAAAAAGAGAAGAAGAATCATCAGCAAAAGCGGACAGCATCCAATCTCCAAAACTTAAAATACACACCAAAGAGAGCAGGGAAAAAGCAACGTGAAAACCAGCGCAAAGCGAATGCAAAAGAAAAAGTGAGTGAAAATCTAAAGTAAAACACATTAAATAAAAAGCTAAACGTAGCAGCAACAGCATTTGCAGCAGCCAGTCGCCGCTGAGCGCTGGAAGCGAATCTTGTGTGGTAACACAGAAGGGAATAAACGAAGCGTGCAGATTTTCTCCACTTGGAGCGGCAAATGAAAAAAGTTTAGCGCACGCGAGTGTTGGTGGTTTTGGTGAAGGTGATGCTGTTGTGTAGGCATTGGGTGGCATCGATTCGATTGACACGCGACAGTGCAGGCGGCGTTTCTGAGCGATGCTCGTGCATTATTAAATAACTACATACACATGAACTTACATACATAAAGTGATAATTGCAAATATGTATGTATGTGTGCGAGTTTGATATGCAAACTACCCGATGTGACGATAAGACGCGTACAACTGCCGGTCACACGAATTATACTAACGAAATTTTAGCTACCCACAAGTGTTAGCAACGTTTGCATACACATACATATACATATGTATGTATTTACATAAGTAAAATTATACGTGGCTACCAACATATTGGCACATAGCTTAGTAAACAGCAAAAGCAAGATCACGCATAAAAGGACAGTTCATTGCTTTTCAAAAGTACGCGTCGCGCCTAGAAATAGCCTAACGAAAACGTTGAGCGCCTTGAAATAGACTACTACGTACACGTATGTATGTACATATGCATACACATACTACATATGTATGAATGCGTGTAGGCATGTGAATACAGCAACAGAAGTCAGCGAAAGACAGTGACAATTCTTGCCGCCAACTGCATTGCGCCTACGACGTACCGGGTGACATTAGAACGCACATTTTTTTATACGTGCAATATCAGAATATGTGTGTGAGCTACATTGAAAATCCGTGTTTTGTTTGTGCTTGCGAGTACAATAGCGTTTGAAATAAGCGAAAAACGTGAGTGGAAAAAAATAGATTCACATACATATGTATATAACTATGAACAAAGAACAAAGAAAAGAGAACAAAGATTTGCGCGTTCGCGGTTGAAAAGTAAAATCACCGAATACAATTCGAAAACTCAAATCAAGGTCAACGAAAATCGAAATTCACGCCAACTCAAGTCAAGTGTAGTGAAAGCGAAAAATGAATAGCAATAAGGTGCTGTGTAATATCTAGCATACAAAAATACAGTTTGTTGCACATGCTTGCTGCAGCATAGTTAGTGTTACCGAAATATCACACAAACAGGCGCAATTGTATTTTAATGGGGGCTGCATAACAGCTTTTATGCGCTAATTGCATATGTATATGAAGGTGTGAGTGTGCTTACCATTTACGGTGGTTGTTGTTAAAAATTAAAAATTAGAAAAAAAAACTTAAAAAAAATGTATAAATAAGAAATATTTGTGTGTGCGTAAAAGTTGTGCAAAACATAGAAAAGTGCGAAAAAATTCAAAATTGTGTAAAATAAAATTTTTATTGTGTTAAGTAAAAAATAATAATTTATGCTAATACATATGTGCTAAATACATATATGTAAAGTTAATAAAAATTCATTTGTGTATATGTCCATACAAATGTCGAGCATACATACATAATTGAAGCGTAAAAAGACATAGAAAGAATAAAAGAAAAACAATAAGCCTACAAACGCGCTGTCATGCAGTTCTAAGTGAATTGTGGATGCTCAATTAAGGTAAGTTGAGCGTAAAATATATTTTCAACACATGCTTATTTAAACTTAAGCAAACTTATGCAGTACTTGAATTAATGGTTTGGTGGTGCCTTTTATTCGAAATAATTTATGCGTGAAGTCAGCAACCTTTACATACTTACATATGCAAAATATGCATATGGGGCACTCCAGCCCAATGCGAACACCATTTGGCTTTGGATCTCGGATTTTTTTCATAATTTTTTTTATTATAGTACCAATTCAGAGAAGTCTCCCGGATTTTTTTTAATTTTTTGCATCCCGCCATTTTCGAGATATCGATTTTTGAAGAAAAGTTCCTTTAAGAACATAAAATCGAAAATATTTTCAAAACCGCATTTCCATAAAATTTCCGGAAATGTTTTAAATTTTCCAAAAACCACTACTTTCTTGAAAATTTCTTCTTAAAAAACTTAAAATGACACAAAAAAACGCCGAGATACGTACATAAATTTAATTTTGATACAGATCGTAGATTACGGATCTGTATACCGTTTTTCTAAATCAGGTAATTTGCCCAAGATATTTTCATTATAAGTTTGCATTGTGAATGACATCGAAAATGTTACTCATACGCCATGTACGAGTATGTACGAATACGGCCATGTATGATGTGGCGTATGAGTAACATTACATATTTCCTGGCCCTATTTCATACAAAAAATGATTGCATATTTTCATATATATATTGAGTTTTAGGCAAAAGAACAGGCGTTAATACAAATTTAAAGATAGTACTAAATATTTGTTATTTTTTTTTAATCTTTTCCTTGTTGTTTCCTTTAATTGCCTGACCTGGTAATACAGATCGGTGATCGAGGAACCAATCTTAAGTTCACGTGTTATGGCGTTTTTCTTGTGTCATTTCCAAACTTGAGAGTATCCTTACAATGTAATGGGATCTATTTTTTAGATTTTTTTTAATTAAATAAAAACTTACAAATTGTGTATTTCTCGTATTCGATTAATTCAGGAATTTTTGGTATGAAATATGAGCAGGAAATATTTAATGTTACTCATACGCCATGTACGCGTGATCGAATTTTAAAGAAAATGAAAACAATTGTTTACGCAAATATTTATGTTATGTTTAGAAATTATCCCTTTTTTATACCCGAGCGCACTTGTGCACAAGCGTATATTAATTTTGTTCACATAACGGTTGTTTGTAACAGCCAAAACGAATCGAGATAGATATAGACAAATGTATACATAAATGATCAGGATGAAAAAAGAAATCGATTAAGCCATGTCTGTCTGTCCGTCCGTCCGTCCGTCTGTCCGTCTGTCCGTCTGTCCGTCTGTCCGTGTACACGATAACTCGAGCAAAAATTGAGATATCTCAACGAAATTTGGTATGTAGGTTTCCCTTAATCCAAGGTAGGTTGGTATTGAAAATGGGCGAAATCGGACTTTAACCACGCCCACTTCCCATATAACGGTAATTTCCAGAAATACGAAAACTGCGATATTTTAGTAACTACTGAAGATAATTCACTCAAAATTGATATTTACAATAATTTTTAGACGAAAAATAAGAATATTATAAATTTTTGGAAAATGGGCGTAGCCACGCCCACTTATGGTTACATGTGTATATCTTGGTAACCGCTGCACCAATTTCTTCCAAACTTGGCACAGTTGTTGGCCTTGGTACAGCATAAAAAATCGCCGAAACTTTTTAAAATCGGACAATAACCACGCCCACATCCCATATAACGGTAATTTAGAGAAATACAAAATCTTCGATAAATCAGTAAATATTGAAGCTAATTTATTCAAAATTGATGCTTGCAACAATTCTTTACCAAGATATACGTTTATGGTAAAATTTTGGAAAATGGGCATGGCACCGCCCACTTATGATCACATATATGTATATCGGTAACCGTTCTACCAATTTGTACCAAACTCGGTATTTTTATTGTGCTTGCCAAATAAAAGCAAAACGTTGAAAATTATTGAAATCGGACTAAAATTACGGCCGATTTTTATATAAGGTAAATTTCAGAAATGCTTGAAACTTCAATAATTCGAAATTTAAGGACGCTAATTTACTCAAAATTGATGCACCCCGGCTTACCATCTAGTGGTAGCTTTCGTAAAGGTGAAAAACATATATTTAATACTTGCGCCGGGTATTTAATGTTCGGCTCCGCCCGAACTTAGACTTTCTTACTTGTTTATTATTAAATTGGAAGCAGTGACTATGCTTAAAAGCTGCGGAATGAGTGAAATTTTCAACAAAATCTATCAGTACTCGATTTTTGGAAATCAACATTTTATATTGAAAATTTGAAAATTTTATAGAAATACGGGTTTGACATTTATTTTTCGATTTTATAATCCAAGTGCTTTGGAAATGAAAAACTTCAAAAAGGGTTCCCAATAGGCCACTTTTTGCGTAAAGCTATGGTCAGTTAAAAAGGAAATAAAAATTAAAAAAAAACAGCGAGGTCTCTCTCTCCAAATGCTGCCTCAAAAACCAAATAACCGAATGGGACTGGAATGCTTCATATATGTTCATACATACATACACACGAATATTTTCCTATCCACGATTTATGCCACTAATTCCTGGTTAATTGCTAAATTGCCTAATTACATGCCATTAATTTTAGCTGGACATTTAGACGCGTTTCAGGCGTTTAATATATAGTTATTCGCGCTATTTTTTAATTGCCTTTAAACTTTTTTTTGTTTTGCAAAACTTATCAACACACATACATACATACATAGTACAGCACTGTTGGTAATGGATTATGACAAAAACTATGCATAGAAATAAATGCCACAAACACACGAACAACAGTTACAACAATGGCACTCACAGAGCAGATTACAAAATTTAATTACGTGTAAACTAGTAGTTGAAGCTGAGTGACTGTGGCTGTGGTTATTCGAGTACATACTGTACGCGTAATACGATGTGGCGTTAACGCAGCAAGCAAGCAGTGTTGCATCATCCGTGTTGTGCATTATTGCAGTTAGAATGCTGATTTTATTGTTGTTGTTTTAAAGAGTTGTTGCTGATGCAAAATGAAAGTGGGTTACGGTAACTTTTAATGTAATTTGTTAAATGTTAGAAAGATCAAGCGATGCTTCAGCGCCATTGCCACAATAAGTAGTGGAAAATATGTATGAATTAATTATTGTTTGCCACATTTACGCTAATTACTTTATTTAACCTGAAAACTCCTATTTTTATGCGAAAATGTACATTATCTTCTGTCATTCATAAAGAACAAGATGTCATTGCGATATTGTATTTAAATGAAAACTTAAATAACATATATCAAAAAAAGTAAAAATAAATCGCGCGATTTTTTTCCCCAAATTTTCACTATATATTAGACTGCATCACTGTTTTTCCATTGGAATTATAAAATCTATTATATTTTAAGACGTCCGCCGATATTTTCCGGAAAGATATTAAGACTTAAGCAAAAATGGAGGTTTTATTCATAAGAAACTAAATTTTTGGAAGTATTTTCAAATCGGTCCAGCTCACGTAAATTAACAAAAACAAATAACTTAAGGACGAGCACACCTAAAAGTTAAACATTCTAAAAATAGAATTATTAGCAAAAACCAACAATACCAACAACCACATGATCAAGTGAATTGCAGCGGAATAGCTGCGCTTGATTGTGTTGGCATAACAAAAATGAAAATAGTGGAAAAAAGCAAACGATAATTTACAAGGCGTACTTAGCACGGTGCATAGGCAACTGGCTGAGTCAGTGGGATCGTCGGTTCGAATCCTACTGAAAGAAGTCTGATGAGGAAATGTGGTGATTTCCGAAATAGCTATCACTTCTACCATTTTTTCAAATTATTGTTGCTTTCCACAATAAAATTTTCATTTAAAATGGCCTCGAGCTCAATATAAATTGTTTATAATTGTTATAAAGGCCAAAAAAATAACAAAAACAAATTTTTCCGAAATAGTGTTAAAATATAATAGATTTTATAATTACAATGGAAACACAGTACCGATTTTTTTTTCTGTGGGGAGTGATACAGTCTAATGTACATATAAATGCAAACATATTTTGAGATACAATTTTTTTTTAAAGTTTCATCATACGTAGATACATATCGTCACCTGAAATACAAAAAGAGGTAACAACATCGTCACTGAAATGGAAAAAGTCGTGACTAATAATTTTTTTTTTTTATAAAACGATGAAATCCATCATATCAATCAAAAAAAGAACTTTGAATTTTTTATAAGTTACGTCTTTTTGCATTGCAGGTGACGATATAAAAATGTATAAATATAAAAGTGTACTAATCTGTACAAATGTAACAATCGAATGCCACTGCCTTAAAATTTTATGCAATTAAAAATAAAATTCGAAAAATTTTCGTAAAAGTTTCGAGTTTTTAATTAGATTCTGAGTATGCAGTTTTGTAGCCCATTGAATTCTCGTAGAATAAAGTACAAGTTTCAAAAGGCTAAAAACTACGATTGATTTTTTAGAATTTTTAAATAGCTCGAAATTTGTACGAAAGTTTTTTTGATTTTTTTTTTAATATTGCACAAATTTGGAAGCTTGGATTTACACGGGTTTTGCTAATGAATGAACTATATTTTTATAAAAAAAGTAACCAAAATTAAATTACAAAGAAAATAATACATTAAAACTTGGCAACAAGTGGTTCGGCTATAATTTTTTTACCCACTGTATGTATTTTTTAATATATTTAATTGGACATGCATATTGTAAATAACAAAATTAAAAAAATAAATGCCTTTTTTCAAAAGCTCTTTTTCCCTTTTTTCAAGCTTTAAGTGCCTTAAAATCCTACATTTCTACATTTCGGGGGATGTCAGAACACCTGCAACAAATTTAAAAAAAAGCATGCCGAACGAAAAAGATTTAAACCAGCTTCATTACAGAAACATTTCGAATAGGATGGCTAACTATTTAAAAATGCAACTTCAATTTTATTAACAAACTTTATTTCGAAAACAT